CCCAGGAGCCCTGGGAGGCGGTGCCGGACCCGTAACAGGAGGAACGGCCCAGCGACTTGAAGGCACTTCCTGGCTGCGATGCTGCGGCCGGGAGCCGAGCCCGGGCTGGGGCCACATTTCCCTTCCCCGTGCCGCACTCCGCGCGGCTGCTTAGGCCCAGGAGCCCCGGTCTTGCTGGGACAGAGGCGGCGCTGGGTCCTGGAGGGACATCTCTCCGCGCTCGCTGCCTTCCGTGTGCGCGAGAAGCGGGCGCGGCCCGGCCAGGCCGCCTCTCCTGGCCGCGGAGGAGGGAGGAAGAGCTTCCAGGGGGCCCGGCGTAGAGACAGGCCCACTCCCGCCGTGAGGAGGGCAGGCTGGGGCTCTGGCTTCTAAACCCTGGTTTCAGCTCAGCTGAAGGGGCAGTCATTGCCTCCCCACTGTGACCCCAGACGACAAACCAGGCCCAGGGTGCGCAGTCAGGGACAGCGGTAGCCTGTCCAGGAAGACTGGAGACCCTCTACCCAGCCTTGCCAGGGCCTGATGGAGCCAAGTTGGACTTGCCTGGTTGCGGTGTGCCCTGGGCTAAGTCACTCAGCCTAATGTTCCGGGTGGGCAGTAGGGAGGGAATAATGCCAGTGGGGATATGAGGATTTTTATTTGGGGTGTAGAGAGAATGGGTAGTTGTAAACACAGACTGTTCCGGTCAAGAAGGACCTACGGGCCTGGCCAGTGTAGCTCAGTCGTTGAGCTGCAGCCTATGAACCAGGAGATAATGGTTTGATTCCCGGTCGGGGGCACTTGCTGGGGTTGCAGGGTGAGGGGTGTGCAGAAGGCAGCCAATCAGTGATTCCCTCATCATTGATGCCCTCCCTCCCTCTCCGAAATCAATAAAAATATATATTTAAAAAGAAGAAGGACCCCTGGTGGGCACTGGCCTTGGCTCCCTGTAAGCAGAGGGAGGAGTTGAGAGGGGGAAGTCCCTGTCCCTTGCCCCATCAGCTTCCCCAGTCCCTTGACTGCACCTGCCTAGGCCACATTTCGAACACTGAACCCTCCCCGCCCTCCCAGGTTCACATGTCTGCCTTAGTCTTCACATCAGCCTCTGTACCCTTGGTTTTGTGAATGAAGACACTGGCCCAGAGAGCTCCAGTGACTTGCCTGTGATTGATTTGCTGGTTTGACCCAGGACAAATGTCTGAACCTTGTGGAGCCACCTCCTTGTGTCAAGTGGAAGAAATTGTTACCTTCAGGAGGGTTATGGGGATTAGGTGTTTAAGCCCCAAGGGTGGTGAGTGATCCCTTCCTCTAAGAACCTTTAGAATAATCCTGATGCAGGAAGAGACCGGAAGGAGAAAGAGCCAACTCCCTCCCTGCCCAGCCAGCCCCTGCTGTTCCCACCACCAGCCCCGCTGATGCCAGACCAGCTTTGATGATACTTATCTATATGCACTACATGCCAGTGCTGCTGTGTCACTTAACCCTCCTATCCTGTGAGATAGGCGACTTGTCCTATTTTACAGATGAAGAAATGAGGTTGAAAGTTTAAATACTTGGGTTGGGGTCACATAATCGGACAATAGAACTGGGGGACTCAGCACAGAACCCCAACCTCCAAGCCCTTGCTGCACCCATATAGGAGCCTGGGAGGCCCATTCCACACCTTGCTGGTTTGGGGGATTAGAGCAACTTCAGGGCAAGCTTTCTGCCCCATTTGTATCACCCCCCCAGTCTGATTTCTGGGCCTTGTTAAACCCATCAGAATGGCCTGGTCCTGTGAGGGCCTAGTCCTAGCCTATCTTGTTTTCTTCCTACTGCCTTAAAAACAGGTGGGCTACGACACCATTTTCTTCTATTCCTGTCGTGCTGCCTGGCTGGCCCAGCCTAGTGTTAGTAGCCAGCGGCTGCCCTGCCCGAAGGCAGGACGCACTGTGAAGGCCCTGGGAGAGCCTGGCTGAGGAAGTCTGTGTTCTTGCTCTGGGCAGGAGGCTGTGACCACAGGGAGCTGGCATGTGGCTCAGCCTGTCTGCTGTAGGGTTGACGTATCGAATACAGGGTGTATTTGGACATACTTTTAACAAAGATATTCTATCTGAAATTTAAACTGGGAGTCTTCAATTTTTATTTACTAAAATCTGGCAATCCTAGATTATGGGCAAATCATCCGACCTCTTAGAGCTTTGGTTTGAAAAATTAGGCTAAAACACCCTTCCCTAGGAGAACTGTGCAGATTAGTACGTTTCTACTGGGGAGACCATGACTACGTATCACCACCCCTCCCCTGAGTCTGGCTGGGTTCAGCTAATCCAGAGCATCCCAGCTCTCCTTCTGCAGCTGCAGTTCATGACCCCTGGGGTTTGCTTGCTGGAGGGAGGGAGAGTGTGTGTGTGTTGGGGGAGGGGGGCAGGGGGGCTGATTGCTGAATCTAGGAATCTTTTTATGAAAACCCTGGCTCAGCGGGACCGCCTAGCACGTAATGGCTGCCAGGGAGGACAGCGCCTGAAGGACAGCGCAGCTGAAGCCAGTTCTTCCTCTGCTCTAGGACCTGTGAGGCTAAGAGGAGCTTGTTTCCTCATGATTTTATCCATCTTCTGGGGGCTGTGCTGTGGGTGGGCCTAGAGCAGTGGTTCTCAACCTTGGCTGCACATTAGAATCACCTGGGAATCTTTTTAAAATCCTGATTTCTGGGCCTCATCCTCCGGAAATTCTGTTTCTTTGTTATGGGGTGGGGCCACAACATTAGTAACAAAGAAACAGAATTTCCGGAGGATGAGGCCCAGAAATCAGAATTTTAAAAAGATTCCCAGGTGATTCTAATGTGCAGCCAAGGTTGAGAACCACTGCCCTAGAGGGTCTGCCTTGGGCCTATTCTGAGGACCCTGGAGGCAGAGCCATCTAGGTCTTGTAAGCTGCTCTTCCCTGCTCCCCGGAAGCCTCCTAGAGCTCTGGATGCCAGGGCCAGCGCTGCTCAGGAGGCGACCTACCTGTCGCACACCTGGAGGAGGAAATCATTGACCAGGCTCTCATGCCGGCTGCAGATGGTCCTCTGGAAGGCGCTCTTGAGCCAGTCCTCAATGCTGCACACCTGCACGCGGCTGGAGTGCCAGCAGATGGAGAGGTTCCTGAGCATGGGGCTCAGGAGGAAGTTGTCCTTCTTGAGTTCTGCGAGGGAGCGAAAGTGCAACAGGGGCCAGAGCGCGGGGTCCTCAAACACGTCCTGGAGCTGGGGGCAGGTCCTGGCAAGGTTCTTCCTGCTGTCCTTGTCCAGGAAGGAGAAGAGGTGCAGCAGGCATTCTCGGTTGAGCTGGGTGATGTGCATGGTGTGCAGCAGCCACGGCGTGTGGCTGGGGCCCAGGGACCTGACCTACCTCCTGCTCCTCCCCAGCTCTGGGCCCGTGGACATATATGGTTGTGGAATGGGGTTTATTTTGGGCTAACAACTGGTGCTGGAGCTGGGGGGAGGGGGGGCAGTATCAGACATACGTGCAGCAGTCTGTGTCTCGGCTTATGTTCAGAGGAATTGGAAATCCTGGCAGAAAAGCAGCCTATTGAAGTTAAATAGTTTCCTTAAAAGGGATTTCTTTTCCTTTTAGCTGACAATGGTGTTCAGCAGTGAGCTCGTTTGGCTTTTCCCGAGGCATTTCATTCTAGGTGGCTAGCCAGACCACCTCTGTCCGGGCTTGCAGCTCTGCGCACGGAGGGACTCTAACTGTAAATAGGATCTGCTCTTCTCTCCCACTGAACATCGGAGTTTGGCCCCACTCTTAGTAGGAAGAAGCCTGTTGTCTGGAAAGAGCTTAGGGTGACATCTCCTGAGCTGTGAGCAGACACGGATAATGCCTCTCCTGCTTTTACTCAGTGGTGATGGCTTTTCCAGGCTGGGCTGATCTGCCTTCAAACCCTGCTGCCCTCCACCAGGCAGAGGGGTGTCCCGGGCCTCCCATGGGCTCTGCTTTTATCCCGAGTTGTTCCTAAAACATTTACCTTCAGTAGCTTACCTTTCTGTGTCATGTTTTAAATTTACTTGCTTTACCTTTTTCTAATGTGTCCTATTGTATCTAGCCTGTATTTCCAAAACACTCAGGATGGATAAAGTAGCTCTTCATACAAAAGTGCGTGAAACAACTTTAGGTCAAAGTATTTTAGGCCGAGTTTTCCCTTTAAGCGAACCTCCCACCATCCTTGTGAATGCCTTAGTTCCGCTTAGCAGATTGCATGGAAGTCTTTTCCATTAAGTTCTCCCTCCTAAAGTAACCCAGACTTCTCAACACATGGATCCATTTCCTAACAGTGCTTGCTCGAATCCGTTCTACCCTGGACTCTGCTGTCATTCCCTGCTCCGAGGGCCTGGCTTTGTGTACAGGGTGGGTGGGTGGTTGGTGCAATGCCGATAGTAAAAAGCTGCGTCGGACCACAGGAGTGAGGCGAGCAGCCCTTTCTCCCTCTGCTGGACCAGGGAACTCCACCTAAGGGGCTACCTTTCTTCCTTCTCCCATTTAACTGGCACTGGAAGGAACAGGAATTCTTTATTTCCAGTTTGTAGAGTAAGAGAGAGGAAGCAACTATGCTGGACCCCCTTCAGGAACTCCAGCTTGGTCAGGCCCAGTGCAGCTTTGCCTGCCTTTAAAAGCGGATACAGCTGAGGAAGGAGAGGATTCTGACCAGCTCCCTTGCTCCTAGAAGCCAGTCTCAGCTGTCCTCCGTTGAGGACGAATTGGCAAAACAGCTACAAGGAAGCTTTTATCAAGGAAAGGGGAACTAGCTAATATTTCAAGCTAATCATTTTAACTGTTAAAAATGACAGCTGAAGGCCCTCTTTGGGCTCTAGCTGTACTTCCCCACTCAAAAGGTTCGCTGCAGCAGCACAGACGGGCTTAATAGAAAGCCGTATGATCGTCACTTCCCCTCCCGAAGCCTTTCCAAACCAGCACTTCTCCGAGGGCTGACCCTGGAAATAGGCAGTTCATTCACTTAAAAGGCAGGGCTGTGTGAGCCACTGGCCACTGGGAAGGGTCATTCTGGTTTGTGTGGCTTCCAGCCTGCATCCCCACCACCCTGTTGGAGCGGCAGAACCCGGCAGGGACTGTCAAGAGCAGCGGTTCTCAACCTGTGGGTCGCGACCCCTTTGGGGGTCGAACGACCCTTTCACAGGGGTCGCCTAAGACCATCGGAAAACACATATATAGTTACATATTGTTTTTGTGATTAATCACTATGCTTTAATTATGTTCAATTTGTAACAATGAAATTGGGGGTCACCACAACATGAGGAACTGTATTAAAGGGTTGTGGCATTAGGAAGGTTGAGAACCACTGGTCTAGAGCCTGGCCCCCCCTGCTCCTCCGGGAGGGGGGCTGTAGGACAGGCCTCAGAATGCAGGGTGGGCCCACATGGCATGCATTTTGGCAGGGAGGGGTCTGGCCCAGGCCTGGGTTGTTAATGGCAACAGCGCCTTCCTCTTCTCTGTGTGGAGCTTGGCTCCTTGGCTGCAACAGCAGCAGCTGCACAACCTCTGACCAGCACAGCTGCCAACTTGTGATACGGGACCTGGAGGCAAAAGCTTTTGGGCTGCAGGCACCTCTGTCTTCAGTTTTATTTTTTTTCCTTTTCATTGAATTTTATGAGGGAGACATTGGTTAATAAGTTATATAGGTCTCAGGTATACAGTTCTAGAATACATCATCTGTATATTGTATTGTGTGTTCACCACCCCATGTCTTCAGTTTTAGAAGACTTATAGGAACAGGCCAATAAGTAACAGGAAAACCATGGTATGGACACAGGGCAGTTCTTGTTTTTTTGGGTTTTTTTTCTGTTTACAGGGGACATGGGCAGAGAAGGTAGTATTCAGTAGCTTACTGTAAAGCAGAATGTTTAACAGCTCTTACTTGCCTTCTTTTACTTAAGATCAGTATCCTTTGCTCAGAGTCCAAAACCTGGTTCCTCAGGGTCGAGTCTAGCTGTAAAGGAGGTGAGCCGACCTCATTTCTCTAAGGTCAGCTGGCCCAAGGAGAGACAGGGTGACTTCATTCCGCAGTGAGCTCCCACAGGCTCCTGACGGCAGCACTGGAGGGTCTCTTCCCACCACCACCCTGACCCACAGGCCACCTCATCGGGATCCACAGTCACCAGCAGCCCCGGATGATGAGGGTTCTGTAAGGATTTACCACCTGCTGACTGACAAGGCCCAGAGCTTGAGGGAGGATATTATTATTTACTTGGCTCCACTGAAAGGTGTTCAGAAATAATAGTCGAAAGGAAAGAGACCAGACTTTTAATGATACTTTCCATAAAACAGTTCAGGTTGGTGAAGCAGAAAAGGGATGTGATTACAATTTAAATGAAATCAGTCACTTGCACAATTAATCCTCTCGGCATCATACACACTAGGTTTTAATGGCAAATGATTATAGCACAGCCAACACGTGCGGAGGGCGGTCTGGAGTCCAGCACACTGACCTGAGGGGGAGGTGCTGCATCTAGGCAGCGAGCAGGGACCTGGGCCACAGCATGACACCCCCCGCGCCCACCTCTCCCCATGCTGTGGGCGCGCTCCTGTGGCTGCACTTGGGTCACGGCGACCCATGCCCTGGCTGCAGGAACAGACGGTTCATGCTCTTTTCCAGGGCCTGAGGGAAGAGGCCACTTCAGCAACAGAGGGGACGTGAGAGAGGTTAGGGGAGGGTGGAGGTTGAAGTGGGGTTAGTAAATCTAAATAGACGCATGTACACTAAACCAATGAAGGAGAGGTTTGGCTTTAAGAAATAAGTATGTTCCCAACCCCAGAAACCAGGCTGCTGAGTAGGTTCCACAGGTGAGATACACATTTAACACTCAACCAGGGCCAGTACACTTGACTGGTTTAATTCTGTTACATTTGTCATCACTATACACTGAGTAGAATACAGTGGATTAGCAAAGGTTTCTCCACCATGGAGAGAGATTTGTGTTGCCACAAACTGTTCTATCACCCACCTAGGTGGGAGGACTTCTGAGAAAGGTTTCTCGTCCAAGGAGCCACGTGACGGCGTGAGGCCCTGCCTCCGCAGAAGCTCTGAGCGAGGAGCCACACAAGCCCGAGAGAGCGTGGCACAGGGAAAGCCCTGAAGAGCACAAAAAGGTCAGCTTTTAAAAGAGGTGTGATAAGGCTACACAGTTAAATTTTAAAATACAAACAGGCACATTTACATCACTGGCAGTAAGCGCACAATTCAAATGGGTCCAATCACTTTTCCGAAGAGCCTTCATGATACTCAAACAGTTCTGCTCAAGTAAAATCAAGCAATAAAAATACTACAGCAATTCAAAAGAGATGTGTGCATCTTTTGAGCCAAGAGTGCCAGCCTGTCTGAGGACCACTTCCCCCAACAAGTGGTCTGTTGTAGTCCAGTCTGCTGCTAGATTCCATCTGGTATAAAAATACAGCTCTTCCCCATCACCATCAACACTGCCCAAGGCTTTACTGCTGAAGCAATGGCAGCTGCCCACTGGGAGACTCCCGACCTGCGTGCAGATGCTAGAAGTTACAGCTGTGCACCTTCTACAGTAGAAAAGCCTGGGTTCATCAGAGATGCTCAGCAAGATCAGAGTGGTGTTAAATTAAGGTATTGATATGTTAGATCAAATTAAGTGAAACTAATTTTTGTAGATCAAAAACAATTTCACATGGTTCACATAATGTAATTTAGCATTGTGAACTATTTTAAATATGTTCCTCTTAATTATCTTCTAGACTAAGTTGTAAGACCTAAACATGACGGCAAAGCTTTTTTCCTCTGGAGTGAAAACTTGGACCAGCACCGTCAGAGAAAACTACAGATGATGGAAACGTCTTGGGTCTGCGCAGTCCCATGCCACGTGGAGTGACTGAAGAACTGAGTTCTTTAACTTTAGTTAAATGTGTGGCTTGTGACCACTGTCCTGGATAGGTCAGGGTTAGACATGATCTCAGTTTGCTCCTGGTCATGCTGAAGTGTTAGCGGATGGGAGCACCTTTCTATTTACTGGGTGGGATGCTACCTGATTCACAAATTATTGAATAAAGCCAATTAGATTTTTTTAAAAAAAAGAAGTGTTTAGTGCAGCGGTTCTCAACCTGTGGGTCGCGACCCCTTTGGGGGTCGAACGACCCTTGCACAAGAGTCGCCTAAGACCATCGGAAAACACATATATAATTACATATTGTTTTTGTGATTAATCACTATGCTTTAATTATGTTCAATTTGTAACAATGAAATTGGAGGAACATGAGGAACTGTATTAAAGGGTCGCGGCATAACGAAGGTTGAGAACCACTGGTTTGGTGGATATGGTCTGCTCTGAGGGAATGTGGGATTTAACATGGGATTCTAGTTCCAAATTTCAATTTGAGTTAAATTTGAATAGTGCTTGTACCAATTTTTCCTGAAAATTTAGAGAGACTACTGAGATAGAAACTACTTATTCAAAGTGAGAATACTTTCAACCTGCTCTGCTAAGTTGGATAGGTCAATGAAATAGGGCCATAAAGACTCATTTCCTTCTGTAGAAGCAGGGCCCACAGTGTTACCTGAGAAGTAGGTGGTCAAAATAAACTCTGCAGTTGGGCGAAGTCAGACCACAGTGACATGCAGTTATCCCCAGTGCTACAGTGAATGGGGGAGCAGATGCTGATGCAAACAAAGCCATGTTCGCATCTCACCGGGAGCACCAAAACCATGTAGCTGAGTCAGAGGATTTTTTAAACACTAAATGCATTTGGTCTTTTCTGTACTCCTATCTTCTCCATGAAAACACACATTAAAAATATACCTCAAAACCTAAAAACCAACAGAGTAATTCTTGAATTTGCAGTACAGATATCACTGAACCAACAAAGTTATTTAGTTCGTGCTGATAAATAGCAGCCTTGAGAAATACAAGAGCATCAGTTACCTGGTCTACTTCATGATGCCCTCTGTTACCTTTACAAGCAGAATGAATGATTCCTGAGCAGTCACTGAAATCTCATGGGCCACAGATTACACATGCACGTGATTCTTGATTCAGAGTCAGCCTGGTCTCCAGCGCAGCTGTGCAGAGCAGCAGGCAGCCGCAATGCTCTCCAGTCAGGAACATGCCTTACTGACAGCATGTGAGAGCAACAAAGCATTGATGTAAATGTGCCTCAAAGTGAGAACTGAAACATTAATATAAAAACGTCCAATAGAACTAAGTTCTTGGAACTACATATAAAAACTGAATTATTACCACTAAAGCAGCAAATCAAAATATCTGCTGAGGTTTTCTGGTAGAACTAAAAAAAAAAAAATTAGTTGGTGCCCATGTTCACTACCATTGACAAAATAAAACTAAACCCCAAATAGGAAATTGAAAAGTGCATAATGAAATTAAATCTTGGATCAAGTATTTACGGAAAATTGGAAATGTTTGTCCGGCATAGTTGACGAGTAACGATTTAGAGGAGGTATTAAAGTTTATCCGACCCAGCTCTGGCCTGGCGCTCCACGTAGAAAAGGATGTAGGCCTTGGCCTTCACCACGGTGTCTTCCTCCGTCAGCGTCACAGTGCTGTCATTGAAATGGAACCAGCGGCCTTCGTGAGTTGCATATGCTGTGTAATGTCCAGAACCCACCCTGTAAGGAGAAGTCAGAAGATAAAACTTTAGTAAGTGCTATAATGGAATAAACTCTAGAGAACTGTGGTTTAAGATGGTTTACTGAGCTCACATGTTTATCCTCAAAACCCACTGAAATGACAAGGCAGAGACTGACACTGGAACCAGAAGTGGAAGATTTTCTAGAACATAAAGGTGTATTCATGGCACTGGATTAATGGAGAAACTAGCTGAGTAATGCTCAACCTAACAAGCACAGGCTAAGACCTATAGGAAACATAGAAAACAGAACCAGACTTCCCATTAGAGTTTGGGGGGGGGGGCGCGTAACTGAGCTTAAGAAAGTACGTAGCTCGAGGAAAGTGCCTTTCCCCTACTTTGGCCATCAAGGGCTTTTTTTCTGTCAGCATGACCCACCCACTCTCCCAGGCAGAATAGCCTGCAGGTATAACAGAGACCTTCACAACTGTTAGAAAAACCCTTACCATCCTATATAATCCTATATAATCCTATCTAATAAAAGAGAAACATGGT